AAGATCTGTAAAGTTGCAAAGACTAAAGTCTCAAACCCAAAGAGATATTCTTTATAAAAGTTAAGACTTGTCCACACCCTCCTAAAACGCCTCGTTTAAAGACGCCTCCACATGTCTACGTCACTGTGTGGGAAGATTTGCATAACACCACCCAAATGTTCACGCAAAGAAAGACGGCGTAACTTTTATTCTCGCTGTAGTTTTGTTGTGAAAGCGAAACTTCTTTGTTTGGCCTTCCAAAAGAGGACGATATCCGCTTCGTCATCGCACACCCTGCACCACTGTCTTTTTGACTAATTTGTGCAAAACCTTTTGCTAAACTGTCAAAGCTTCATTTTAACGACCAATGCAACGATGCAAGTATTTCGCTTACCTCTATCTACATGCTTGCGGAGGGTTGATGTCGAGATTTTATAAGCTGCTAGTTTGGTCTCCCTAGGCAAACACAGCTTACACTGCATAATAGAGCATCAATATGGCCAGTGCTTCACTTCATTTCCTTCGAGTTCAACTTCAGCAGAATTCGACTCAGCTGGGTCTGCACCATAAAGCCTGTCTTGTCCGTCTCCATCTTTCTTGTGATTTTAGCGCATTGTTCACCTGCCATTTACTGCAGTAGTTTCCAGGGAGCGATTTTTTACTCTATAATTAATGTGTTTTAGAAATGTAGCGAAGTACAATACTTCAAACAAAATATAATTAAGTAAAAGTAAAATTACAGATTTTAAAAATTACTTTAAAAAGTAGAAGTACACAAAAAGCTACTCAATTACAGTAACGCGAGTAAATGTAATTCGTTACTTTCCACCTCTGTATTTAGCACATGAAATTTCAGAAGATCACTGATTTATGCTGAACCTGTTGGGGTGTTTTGGTGTTTTATTAGCGTGTTTATTGTTTATGTGATTTTTTTTTTATTGGCTGCATCCAGTAATTTGATCTGAAAATCAGAAATGCATAAAGCCTGTTAATATTCATTTATTTTATTAACTTTCTTCTGTATTTTTAAGTTGTTTTGCATATAAATAGATGTTTTGATTGTTTTGTGTATATAGGAAATGCTTATTGTCCATAAAGTGCACCTGATGAACTTCTTGATAAAAATGCAAATCTAGGATAAGATGTCTCTTTTGACATGTTTTTTTTTTCTTTTTTTGTTTTCTTTAATATTTTCATATGTACTGAGTGAGATTTCCAAATTGGTCTGTAAGAATCCCAAAAAGCAATACTTAATGAACATTTTTATTACATTATTACATTATTTAGTTTATAAATCCATAAATATTCTTAATGGTTTTCTTCTTCTTCTTCTTCTTCTTCTTCTTCTTCTTCTTCTTATTATTCTTATTATTATTATTATTAAGAAAAACATTTGAGGTGACCAACATCATATCATTTACATTTTTGCATTTGGCAGAACTTTAGCTACAGGAATACTTTACAACATATGTATATATATAATGATATAATGCATAATTCCCTAATTCAGTGCCGTTTGAACTAACACACAATACTTACTAATGATACAATGACTGCAACACAATTTTCTTAACTCCAAAACAGAAAACCATAATCAGCTGTAGTATTCACAGATTGACTGGTGTGCTGACCCTACTGCTGCACTATAGATGGAGTGGGGAACTAAGCGGCCTCATGGGAGAATGGACATTTCATTACCTCTAATGATTATTGGATTAGAAGACATTAGGCCGATAACACACACAGATACCATCCCATTTTCCTGCAAATTTCTGTCATCGCCACTGTTGACAGAGTTCAGTCTGTTAGATGGGCTCTTATCAATCTCTATTGACTGTGTAACATCATCCACTGAAAAGATTTTGATAAGAGATGTTCATAAAGTAATTTTTTTATAGAAAGATACAGTGTGAGGGCATTTACATGTGTGTAACAATCTAAATGCTCTAAAAACTATTTTCTAATATTTTCAAATGAAGTTGATACACGGTTTAGCACACATATTTTTGCCCATTACCTCACAGGTGTTTTGCCTGCCAATTCAATGTGCTCGTGTCTTCCGCGCATGTCTGTTTACGTTCTGACGTCAGAAGCCGGGCAATTTAAAAATCTTATGTTAATGTTTTCTGGCATATAAAATGTATTGAGCTGATTTTTGATAGTTAGTTACCTATATTTTGTTTTTTACCTATATTTTGAGATTGTTGTGCCCACCATTGCATGTTGTTATGCCTCTCATACTATTTTAAGCTGCTCAGTATGTAACAAACCCGTTTCATTGTTAATATCCAATGCAAACTGTGATTGGCTGATGCATTACGCTAGGATTATTAGCACTTGTTTGAATATTCCCATCAGTCTCGATCCTGTGGTGCAAATGTACTTCTCTTTTTCTCTAAGGTTTGATGGCTCTGTAAAGCACCACATTGTTTTAAACTGCAATGTTGAAATGGAAATGAAAGCGTGATTGAATTCTATAACTCTGTGGGATGCAAGTTATCTGGCAATCCCATTTCCTTCCTGTTTGTTCATTTACCCAACCTTGTGTGATGCAGAGGCAACCCTGTAATCTGGACACTCCTATTGTTCCCACACTCTAGTCAAACCTCTCAGGGACACTGAAGTTTCACTAATTGTCTTCAAAACTGAATCATGGCTATTCATAGAAAGTGAATTCTGTGCAGTATTGTTCACCCTATTGTTTCTAACAGGCCAAATGACAATGAGAACAGAGAGTGGAACAAGAAACATGTTCTTCAGATAGTTTTCCGTTAAGATAACAGACATTTCGTTTAACCCTAAAACACAACACAATGCAACATGATTCAAAATTCGGCAAAAAAAACCTCATTAACAAACTTTTCATGGAGTGTAGAGGGTTTTACAAGAATGCCATATTTGCTGTATTTCAAATCCAGATACAAACAAACAACATATTAAGGAGTCTAAATGGGTTCCTTTCCAGATGAATGTGGGATGTGTTAGAATCTTCTAGCAGCCCCAGCATCAGCAGCGGGGTTGGGTGAAGTCATGTAGTCTTTGCCGTTCCTGCTGCGTTGAGTGCTGGACTGTGTTTTCCCCCCTGTAATCCTTGTAAATGTGTCTCCCATTCAGCCCGTTTGCTGCTGAATGTGTTGACACACGGCGCTGTAAGTGGGTCATGGTGCGCGCACAGGCCCAGCCCATTCTCAGGGCCCGCACCTCCATCACCGTGGCAACCCTGCTGGTTGATTAAACATGCGCAGATTCGTCACGCAGACGTGCAGTGATGAAAACCCACGCGCTTTCAGGGAGGGGCCGTGATAGTGATAGAGACACAGCGCCCCTCATGTAGCCACTTGATGTGATTGAGTTCAATTGAATTTGAATTATTTTTGGACAGAAAAAATGGCATTCAGGGTAATGAAATGCTAATCACTTTAAATTGACAAATTATTCAAATCCTATTAAAACAAAGGTCGAAGAGGGCTGATTGAGCTGGTTATGAATGGAGAGGGTTTAACAGTGGGTCTTAAAAGGTAAAAATATTTTAATAAAAATAGTTTCACTACATATTAACCAACACTTGCATCTGTTTTCCTCTCCATCTGACTGTCTCTCTGACTCCCACTGCCTTATTCTTTCATCTGTCGCAATCTCTTATCCCTTCACTCTCCCTTTCTCTCTCTCCCTTCTGTGGTGGATTAGCGTTTTGTTGCAGTCTTTGAGAGTCCTGTGAGAACGTTTCCCCTCCGAACATGTCTGGATATCAGGGTGACCACTGGTTCTCAGTGACCCCACAGCCCCAGGGATTAATTGGAGGTTGGGGGTGGGGCGAGGTAAAATCCAAATGCCAGTGTTATTTTAGTATTATTTATATATTATTATTTATTAATATTCTGAATTGTTTGTATTTTGTTTAATTTTATTTTAATTGTAGCTTAAGTTGTAATAATTTTGTTATGTGTGTCAAATATTTATATGAAGAAATATTTCGAAATGTTTTATATATATATATATATATAGTTAATGAAAACAATTTTTACATCAAGTTTTAGTTAGCAGTAACAACTTGCTGAATGCTGAACACATTAATGCAAAGTTAATCAGGAAAATTTTAGTAGATTGTTTAGTATATTTAATTAATTAATTAAATGTCAAACTGGCTCCTCGAACTGTTAATGTTGAACTGTGTATGTGAAGATTACAATTAACTTATCAGTGAATATAAAGTATTTATCCAATCATAAAAGAAAATTAATTTATACTTTTTGATTTTAATACATATACTTATTCAGAAAAATGTCTATCAGAAAATGCATGCATGCAAGTTTTAGCTGGTATTGTTAAAAAAAAGAAAGGAAGTTCGTGTTATCTCTAAATACGTCCTGTATCTTTTCAGATAGACATTAGCCATTACTATTCAAGAATGTTTGCACTGATTTTAATGGTTTAGTTTCGTATCTTGGACTGATATTTAGTTTCATTGTTGCATTGGTACAGTAAACCATTTCTGGTTTTGGCTGCACTATATAAGATATGAGATTGCAACATTTTGTCTGCATGTGATCTGTTGTGAAACTTGCCAGAGAGGCTATCCTGTGAGAATTTATATCGTAAATAAGATGTAGTGCCTTGTATTAACAAAGTGTGCAATCTGCATTCATTTCTAATGCCATTTGATGGTCTAACACCCTTGAGTTATGAATATAAGGCTGCATTGTAATGTAATGCAATTTGTGGTGGATTCAGAACATGTGATTTCTCTCAGCCAACCAGGAGTCATGCAGTGGTTTCAGCAGTGCAAAGAATCTCATAACAGGATCCAAAGGGCAAGTAGTATTGTGTAAATGCTAATATTGTTATGTAGCTGAGTAAAATTACAGTAATATAAACATTTATTATTTAGAATTATACAAACACACATTTAAGTAATACTTGAAATCAAATATAAAACATATATTATTGATAAAAATATTATTTTAAAAAATGCAGTGTTTTTTTTTAAAATGCAACTTTTTTTCTTATGCTGGACAAACGTATAGATCTATAAAGCACTACAAAGAATCAGATCAGTCTATATTCTCACTCCTTGCAATCCACAGCAGTTGCTATAGCAACAGGTTGATCCCTTGCCAAAGCCACTGTAAAGCCAGGTCTGAGGTTCATTACGGCATCATTACCATAGCGGTGTTTGACAGTATTCAATAATTCACATTCAAAGGCCTGAAACGGAGCAATAGCCTCAACCAAACCATGCTCATAACGCTTGCAGTGTAAATCATGCGAGTTCCAGCAATTGTTTTATAAGGACTGGCAAATAAACACTGAGTGGGAACATATGCGAGCTGAAATCAAAGTTTATTTTTCCTCAGGAAGTACAAATGCCAAATTTCCCACACTGCAGAAATGCAGTTTGGAGCGATTGCATAGAAATTCTACAGTAAAAACCAGTTAATTAATTAACTGTACGTGATAAATGCTATTATGTTAAAAAAGACAATGCATGTAAATTTACTGTACAATTTAGTAATTTAAAAACAGTAATTATTGTGTGTTTTTTTATAAGTATAACATAGAAATGATCTTTTTATGCTGAATATATATATATTGATTTAATATTCCTTATATGTAAAATAATGTTAATTATTAAATAATGTGAAATATTATATTTACAAATATAAAATATAAGTTAAATATTTGTAAAATAAGGGTAAAATTATGTTTAATTTTTATCTCATAATTCTGAAATATTGTCACTGTACCATAAAATTAAAACATTTCATAACTGATAAGTGAGAACTATGTATGCTATTTTTTTTTAAAGCAGTTTGCCTAGAATGCATCACACAGTTAAATAGACAAGGAAATGTAATAAACTTATAAACTTAACTGCAAGTTTGTTTGTTTTTTCTAAACATAATGCACTTGTCTCATCTGTTGCAGAGATGTGAAATCTAAAGTTAAAGTAGGCCTATAATGAAAGACATGAAGGCAATCATTTGGAAAAACTCAATCAGAATGACTAAGTGTCAAAGTCCATCCTCGCATCCTACCATTCATTTTTTTTATTCATGAATCATACTGTTATATGTATTATACTGTATATGTGTTACAGTATATGATGCCAAGGGGAGAATTTCACTCTCTCACACACACACACACACACACACACACACACACACACACACACACAGAATCAACTGGTCCCTCAGAGTGAATGGATTGAGAATTTACTTGCAACCGTCTGGGTACTTGTTAGTCTTGTCAGGCAGGGACTACACAATAAGAAGAGCACAGAAGACTACTTATACTAGCTTTGCTTTCTGTGCAAGAATACTGCTCTGTTAAATGACAGAAAACTGCTGAAGTTAAACTTAATAAATGCAGAAAAAGCCAAACCACAAAACCAAATATGATCAATAGAATCAAATACAGACACACAAAACATATTGAAGATCTTGATGATTAAAAATCATCTTGTTTTCCCCAGCCGTAGCTTTCAGATGAATAACATGACCTCTTTTTTCTTCCTCCTCTCAGGATGTATGGAGTGTTGTCTGAAATGTTTAGGAGGAATCCCTTATCCATCCCTGATTGCCACCATCCTGCTGTATGCTGGAGTGGCACTCTTCTGTGGATGTGGACATGAAGCTCTTTCTGGAACGGTCACCATCCTCCAGAACTACTTTGAGGTGATCAGGGGACCTGGAGATGGTCTGGATGTGTTTACAATGTAAGTGTAAGCAGCATATCGAACCGCCCATTTTTCACTGTAGATTTTCAATTATATACATGTATTATATACAATATATAAATTTTTCTCACACCACAAACAATATGTTTTTTTAACATTGTTGGTATGCATCAAACATATTTAAAACAATATAGATAAACATCTTTAAAACAATATAGATTTATTAGAGAAGCAAGCAGGGGGGGAGGGGCTTTTACAAATGAATTGTTTAATTAAGCAAATGGGAATGAAGAGATTTTTTTTTCAATAAAAGTTTTTTTTATTATGGTTACTATATATACCTCAGGTTGTTGTGTATGGATGTAAATTAAAACAAGTTATCTAATTATGGTTGTATAACAATGACCCTTTAAAAAAGTTAGTCATACTCCACAAGGTAGGGCTAAAATGAGCATGTGAATGGGTTAAATAATATGCTAATATTTTATACTAATATAAAAAAAAAAAATGACACAAACTATTTTTAGATAATTTAAAACTTTTTTAATGCCATCAATATAACAAAAATGCAAAAAACATCAATTACCTGAAAATTTTCAATAAATATTAAACGGTGATCTTTGCGTTTTAGATACAGAAATGTATGTGTAAATTAGCACTTGTATATATGTACAGTAGACTTGTGCCGGTATTCGGTAATGCGATATATTACGGTAATGAATATGCACGATATTGTTATCGTGGGCACTTCTGTCACGGTGTGTGGAGGCAGGCAGGACGACGAGGACGACAAGGATTCCAATAATTACTTTTAACGTAGACACAACAAGGCAGATTCAGGAAGGTGAGACACACACACTCGGGGTAACATGAACCGGAGCAGGAGGAGGAGCCGGGTGGGACCCAGGCCACAGCCATAATAGCGGCCCACGGTGGAGCCGATGGAGGGAGGAGACATGGAGGAGGAATGTCCACCGACTCCAGGGGACCGACCAACGGCGGCGGAGCAGGTGGTGGAGGAGCCCAAACCAGGGACAGAAAGTCGTTCGTGTGGTCCTCAAGAGAGCGTTCCCCCTGCTCCAGCAGGAGGATTTGGAAGGCAGGGTAATCCATAACAAAAAAAATAAAAACTGACAAAAAAACGGAAAAACAAACGAGGTGAAAGACGCCACTATACTTTACTTGTAGGTCGGTTATTCTGTCACGGTCACGGTGTGTGGAGGCAGGCAGGACGACGAGGACGACAAGGATTCCAATAATTACTTTGCAACTGTGTTATTTAATGAGCTAACATGAACTAAGACTTGTATTTTTTAACAAAGATTAATAACTTCTGTAGCAAATGTAGCTATTGCTCATTGTGAATGTTAATGCATTAACTAAGGTTAACTAATGAGGTCTTATTGTAAAGGGTTCTTTTGCACTTTAATCTGTGTAAAACTTTTAACTTTATAAATTTTTCTGTATTGCTTTATTGCATTTAAATGTTCAGTTATTTTTGTTATAAGAAAAAAGTTATTAAACCTGTTATACTGTATTATGACAGCACTTTTTTTAAACAATTTCAATATCGTGATAATACCGTATACCGTAATAAAAGCATTAGCAATTAATCGCAACATGAAAATTTGATACCGGCATATCCCTAATGTACAGCATGTTTGAATTAAACTTTCTATTTGTTTTTCTTTTGTACTGCATTGCCATGTTGATCTTATCTGTAGGATACCAAAAAAAAAATATATATATACAGTATATTTTACATAGTTAATGCTGTACATATGTAGCCTAACTTTTTGGAATAAATTGAGCCATTGACTCAATATTACTAGTCTCGCCTAGCCAGACCTTCAGACTGACGGCTGAAGGTCTGGAATCCATGGCAGCTTTTATTGGCCTTGGCCCGCTCATCAGGCCGTTTGACCGACATGTCAAACAACCAATCACAGTGCGTTTCGTTGATCGTCACGTTTCGGGGCGTGGAAATGTTGCCACAATAACAGACCGGTGTGTAAAACTCTCTGACGTATTTTAAAGATTCTATGCCGCGAACTTTAAATATTTCACATACTTTTGAAAATCCAGCGTTTAGTTGATCCTGATAAGCGCTCGTCGTCACAGTTGTAAACACAACCGTTTTCTTCTTTCGTCAGGGGGTTTGGCGGCAAGGCATCTTTGTTTCCAGGTGGAACGTTAAAGAATGCGACACACACATCTCCCGGAAATCCTGTATAATTCAACCAATCCGATGACGACTTCGAAACTCCTGAAGTGTTTCCACTTTTGTGTGCCTTATGCATCAGACGTTCAGCCAGCGGTCTGTGTGCGTGACGTCTGAGGCTGAGAC